GGGAGGGGGGGGGGACACAAACCCTTTAAAAGAAGGACGAAAGGTTTGGTGATATTAAAGAAACTTCTCAACCCTCCCTCCAGGTGTTGAAAACTTGCCCAAATCCGTTAATCTGGGTTAACGCTTCTCGAATCCTCAAGCTGGACCGCTCTGTAGGCCCAATGGCCACATAAATCGCTCAAGGCTTTCTATGGGTCTAACTGTGGCGGTCACTAATAGCCCAGTCACTTTCCTTCTTTTCTTGCAAATAGAATTACCTTACCTGCAGAGAATCGCCCATCTTACGACCACCCCAGGAGTCATGCGAAAGGGCTGAGTGGGTGAGCACCCCGGCTGAAATTTGTCTCCTACCACAAGATCTCTACCTGACTTTTTTTGCCCGTTATACATAGTTTTCTGGTGTCGATAATCGTCTTGATTGTTTTGCTCCTCATCAGTTCATTTTTTTTTATTAATCTACCGAATTACATCTAGATGTAAGTCTCATACCGTACTCTCGGTCCCAGTATAAAGAATAAGACAAATTAAATGCACAACTTTTTTGCTATTCCACTTTCCTTTTCTGTGCCATACATTCGATTCTATTAAGGGAATATCTAGAGCTGAAACTGATTGACTCGAACTCCGATTCAACCAGAATTTATTCCCAAATTTGTACAGATGTATGGTTTCTGAAGCTAAGAAAAATTATGGCGGGAATCGAATAGTGCTCCAGAATTAAATTGTAACTTTCATTTTTACTCGAGAATTACAAAACACTTGCGACCATCAGGTGCCCGATACTTTTCTTGTATAACTCATCGAGTACTCAGAGCGCAACGCTGTCCTTTCGGAGTTTTCATGAGAAGAGCTTTGCTTCTCTCCTGTGTAATCTTCACTATCAATAATCATGAGCAGTTTCAACTATACAGGCCATCTAGTCGTAATAGCTAACATGATGGGCTCGGGCTTATAGGTCGTAAAAGCTAAGCACCTTTGATGAGGAACTTCCTGAAAGAAAAACGGCTTGGAAGGAAACCTATGCTCAGTAGCACGAGCGCTGTGATATTACCATGCCACTCGTTGAGGAATTCGCTCTCTCAACCATTAGTCGGTATCAATATAAAATGGAGTGTACACCATTTTCAGGCCCGTTCATCTGACGTTTCGTCCGAAGCCATTGAAAGGGTTGTTGCTACCCAGTTCTCTTTCACTCCCTCTCTTTCTTAGCCGTTTCTGTAGCATCTATATCAGCTCATTCGACAGAACTGACGGAACGCAACCCCAACAGGAGAGCCTTGCCTTCTCTGTTTTCAACTCTTCCGTCTGGGTTGGACGCCATAGCGACACATTGCTTGAGTTAAGCCTGCTCATCGAGAACTCTGACGAGGACTTGACTTTTTGTGGGTCGAGGGAAGTGTGCGCGTGCTTGGTCCCAATGGAGAACGCGCAACAGCAACCGATTGATGACCGATTCACTACATAGTGTACGTCAGAACGAAACCCAGACAGCAGCGCATTTTCTTCTTTGTAAAAATGTCACATCTGTTGAAAATTCTCTATTTTAAGTCTACTCAGAGAGTTCCCTAAGAATGGCACTGGTGAAGGAATAAGTAGTGTCATCATACAGAATCAACGGATATTGAGGGTCGAGACCCCGACAACTTCGAAAGGGTAAAGGTTTTGGAAAAGAGCATAAAAGACATCGTTTGTATGAAATCGAATCAAATAAACTTGGGAAATAAGAAGGTTCCCAAGCAGCATGTTCCTCTTAGCTTTAGACCTCCCACGCCAACTCAATTTGCATCAGTTCATACTTTTTATATGAGAGCATTCACTTCACGGAGCGTTCACAGAGCAGTACCTTTCATAAGTTATTATACTAGATCAACAGCCGTCTGTCTTTGTCGTACAGGAGAAGTATAAACGTGGTCAGTCGTCTTCCCCATTTGAGCACGGATCTTCTGTCTTATAAGTTGGAAATCCATGGTCGATTCATCTTAAAATCTTTTTTGGGAAGATCGGCCGCCCACCGCCCCCCCCCCCTCTTTAGAAAATACACTTCAGCTGAAGATTGTTCTTGTTTTTTGAAAGGTATGTCTTTCAGAGGACAAGAATTGCTATCTGCCTAGGCCAACTATGGCTTAAATCCCTCCGGGGTCGGTTAATCGGTACCAGACCCGTCTGGGAGGATAAAAGCACTGACCTTTATACGCCTAGCCATCGTAACTCATTGTACAGGCCGCATACGCATTCACTACGCCACTACGATTCTAAATGGAAGACGAATGTGTGGGCAAATCCCGCAGACGGGTTTGATTAACGCCCCAAGACTTTATCCTTTATCCATGCCAACTTACAAATTGTTTCTTTGTTTTGTTTACCTGCTCAGCGAACATACACATTTCACCCGATTCTTATAACAAAGCTGCAATTGAAAACTCTTATGGGAATTAATCATTGATTACCCACTCATGCACCGGCTCCCTGAACCATACAAGTTACCCTCACATAAGTCTGTATTCCTATTTGGAGTACTATTGCGGCTTGATTTTTTATCCCTTCCTCTATCGCCCTCTCATTGATGATTCTCTATCAACAAGCTTAAGTTAGCCCTCAGCAGGTCCTGTCAGCATGGGAATTGTTCGCGAACTTGCACTTATTTTTTGACGTTATCCATCACGTTTTCTAAGGTCGCACAGATATAAGTCCGTAGGGGGCCGCTACTTTACCTCTTAATATATTTCATTCTCTACAGGCTTGCTTATTGCTATGAACTAGCAGTCATACCATTTCCAGCTTCCTTGCTGCTCTAGGCAGATTTTGTAGTTCGAAAATTTGGGATACAGTACTAACAAACAGTAAAGTAAAACAGCAGCTAGGCGTCTAAAAAATCCGTCACATTCGGTGAAAAAGGATTTTGAACGAGGAAACAGATGAGGCTGGACTACTGTACCACGCATTCTATCGGATTTATTTATTTATTTGTGAGATTATTTACCTTACGCACATGAAATAACATTGGAAACAGGTAACTCTTGTCCTAGGTAACAGTGGCTCTCAATTTTGCTTTTGCTTCCTTTTTGGTGTGCCAAATTATTTTTTCTGATTTTGTTTCCAAAGTTATCTCATGGTTTCACTCAGAGGAAGCATCAATATTCTTGTTAACAAATGTTTGTCGTACCTCGTCCAGCGTTCCATTCTTTCCGGACATGTGTCTGAGGAGTTCCTCGGCTTGAAAGAACTATTTTTACGATGGCGGATATGACTATGACTGTCAAATGACTTTCATTTTTATGGCTCACATAAGCTCACATAACATGGTTGGAAGCAGTCTATCGAAAAGGCTCGCTGAGCAATTATCAATATTATTACTTTAAACTCGGATGTAAAGTGTCAATAAAAATGCCGTCCAGCTTTTCTCTCAGCATACTTTCAAATCGTGATTCCGTCTATACTGATCACCAAAGAATATTAAAAGCTACACTAAAAAAGCTATACTATAAACTATTCCTTTGTTGTGAGACCTTACAGTAGCTGAATTCACCGTGAAGGCATCGAAAGACCACTCTTGGAAAGATGATTGGGGTTTCTAAATGGTAAAGATCTAGGGAAGCTCTTGGAAAGGCCTTTCAACTGTTGAAAGAGTAAAATGGGCAGGTTTACTTTGAAGATGATAAAGTTGCAATGAAAGGCTCCATCTCAATATTTTACATTGTAGCCTCATGTGAACCAAAGATTTTTTTACTATAGATTTGATAGGCAGTATTGGTCAAACGAGTTCTCCAAATCAAGAAAAACCTTTACCCTATGTGAGACATTGAAGTGAAATACGATTTGTCCGTTTCCATCACATAGCTCTACTTTTTCAACCTCCCCGGACCTCCGAGGAATGACCTCTCTTATCTTGCAATCAATCGTTTGTGTCCCTTCAACGAAATTGGCTGATATAAACTGCAGTAACTTCGTCGTACATACACCACCAGCCATGTGCGAGGGGTCTAGGGGATGAGATAGGAACCTATACATTTATTTATTTAATATTTATTAATATTAATTATTATTTATTTATTTATTTATTCAATTATATATTTATATACAATTGAATCCCAACTGCGAATTGCTCCAACGGCATCTCGAAACATTTGAAAGGATATTTCAGATGATCAACTACATGCTACAATTCTTAGTGCATCTTGAGTACTGATTTAGTGTAGGTGGTGGTGTAGTGGCATGTGGCGCACTGTTACACACACATGGTCACAGGTTCGAATCCCTGATCAATACTCGTCTAAGCCAACCAAGCCTTCCATTCCTCCGGGGTCGATTGACTGGTACCAGACTCGTCTGGGAATAAAAACACTGACTTGTACATCGGCTAGCTACCGCAAGTCATTGTGTGGCATTCATGCCATTCGCATTCAATGCCACTGGAATTCTGAATGGGAGTCGAACGCAGGGCGCATCCCTCAGACAGGAATGGCTCATGGCTAAAAACTTTATCCTTTATTTTATTTTATTTTATCCTTTATTTTCAACTCTTTACCCATATATTCAATCCACGACCTCCTTTACCCCTTTTTTGTTGACCGTTTATCGTTCTTTGCTTGATTTGTACAGGCCGAATGCCGAATGAACACAAAATACACTGCGATAGATTTTACGAGAAATTTTTATTATCTTCTACGATTTCTCGACTTTCAGGGTACGTGGCTGGTGGTGCGTATCTCATCCGATATTGGGAATCATGGTCTTTTTTTGATGCCTTTTATTTTTGCTTCGTCACCGTCACTACCATAGGTGAGTGCAGTAGTAGATCCATTTTTTTTTTGCTTAACGAATGTGTAGTATTTGTTTCGAGTTATCACTTTTGAATATGTTGAAATCGAAAATAGAATAATTCTCCTTCGAGATACGCATCGATGTTATTCGGCTAGTTTAAAATTCGTTGATCTTTGGGCCGATCTCAGGGTGTGAAGACTGGCGCTTAAAGGCACCGTACACGATAATTTTAAGGTACCCCTTTTCAGTCAAAAAACGGAACTATAGATTGGGAATAGTTCATTGGTAGTGAAGAAAGCGAGGAAATTCGCCGATTTTGAGAAAAATAAGGCTCCTCAATAGTAGGGACAATAGAGGTTGGACGAGATCACCATGATGGAAATATCATGGAAGGGGTATACGGACGACATTTTGGTTGTTGCAATCGCTCAAAGAGCTGACTACATAAGGCCAGAGCTAAACAGAACTGCCTTTCACTGCCACTATGGGCAAGTTGTTCAACTTCCTGCACGGGCTCCTTTGTGATCTATGCACCCTCTACAATGCCGGTGAAACTCGCCCGAGGATTCACACGAGACAATCTTTGAGCCTTTTTAACGCCCTAACTAGGCCGTTTCCCGACATGATAGCGCCAGATATGGTATAAGAAGGGGCCTCAAATTCATCCTATCGGGAAATCTCAGAAACCATTTTTATCGTGAACTGTGCCTTTAAAGTCACGGTCCTCTCTTTTACGTCACCCGAAGGGATTCACGACATATGCTTCGCCCTGTTCGTCGCACCTTGACAATAGCGTTTTATTTCTTGCTGGTAGTGAAAAGGGGTGTAATGCTATGATATAAACACTTTATGTCATTGTTACGACCTGTCGTTCAGCGAACTTTCATGGATTTTCGCAAGTTGAAGTAAGTGGCACTTGCAAGCGTACTTGTTGTAAAGCATTGTCGTCCAATGGGCCTTTTCTCCCATCATCCTGCTAGCAGAACATTCGTGGATTCTGATAATTTGGTATAAGATCGTCCTTGTATTTTCACTGTGTGGGCACAGAAAGAATAAACCACTACCCACTACAGCAAAACTGAAGTAGCGTCTGGTTTGTAAATAGAAACATGGGATCAAGCCTCCCGTCACCATGAAGCTTGAGGCAATTCGTTTGAGAGAGACCTTCTAAGGACGAGGGACTAGCCGAACCTTTTATCTATGCTATATCACACATTTCCTGATATAGAATTGTTGGGATAAGTATGCTGATCCTGAACATGAACCAACTGAAGCAAAAGTACGCACTTCTATGGATTGAACCTTTTTATTCTACTGGTTGGATAAGGAACAATAGAGTTAAAATATATTAGGTTTATGCATAATTATTGCGGGTTTTTTCGCGGCTTTTTTTCTCTCGATAGAATTTGAATATTGAGTTCGGGTTTTTTAGANGGGGTCTGCTTGATTTCTTATACAGAAATGTACTTATGAAACCATTCGCGAAATTAGGCTCTACTACTTCGGAAAAGGTTGGAAGGTGGCAGAGTCATTCCGCGATCTTGTAACTTTTCGGCGATCGAACAATCAGCCAAAGCCAACCAAGAAATGGGATCTGCTCCTAAATCTGCCATGTTCACCAGCAGAAACTTTTATGGATTATCTCGTCGGAACCGTTCGCTGAAAAAATGGCTAGGGAATAGAAGTTACGTCGATTTGGATGACTTGATGGCCGATGTCAAGGCGTGGACCACCTCCAAGGATCGAAACTTCTTTGCTTTTGGAATCCGCCTATCTAGCCAATGGGGAGCAGTGCAGACGGTGGATAAGTTCCGGAGTAATTATTCAAACATGTTTTTGTTCAGTATTTTTATCGTTTTGTTAAATAAAATTTGTTGAAAAAATCCGTAATATTTATGCATCAACCTAATAGTTTACGCTCCGAAGAAGTTTTTTGGGATCAACTAATTTTGAGTTATTCGTGAACTTCTAAGAAAAATTAAAAATTATTCTAACATTTCAGGATTTGGAGATATTGTTCCTCTGAATGTGGACTTTTTTCCAGCCACACTAGCATATATCATTCTTGGCCTTATCATCACAACGATGTGCATAGGTTAGGGATCATTTCTTCTTTTTTTCTGCTTATTATTATTATTTTTATTATTACCAGTTGGGCCGCCCGGTTTACGCCGGGCCCTCATTCCTCATATTTATTAGTCAGTTAGAAATGCCCCCTCCTCCCTTAAGTGAAGAAATGTAGAGGAATGTAGGATAGAGCTGGGTTACCATATCACTGCCTTTATCGTAATCATAAAGTTTGCGGACGGACACACCGACAAACAGACATACCGGCATACCGTCAAACCGACACACCAAGTTTCTGCTTTATAATAGGAGAGATTATTATTATTATTTTGGAAAACAACAAGGAACTGAACTATTAATAGAAAATTAGAAATCAGGATAAAGTGTATGGCTAAAGATAATATGTGGCTTGCTTCTGAAATTTGCTTATAAGCTCATGATTTTGCTAGGGAAAGCAGCCTACTTACCATTAGCTGGAGGGGGCCACCCATCCAAAGGTCAGTATATCAAGAAATGAACTCAGTCTAACGTGTTATTCCTTGTTATATTAGCCCTGTATCGGATGCGTTGAGGATGATGGGAAC